GGGGCCCGCTCCTCCCCAGGCCCCGCCTCCCGCCTGCGGGTGTGCCTGGACAAGGGGTGCTTGGGTGCTGCCACCTCAGTCCCAGGGTAACCGTTGGGGAACTCAGTACAAATGGTTCTCACGGTCTGCTTGAGCTGTGTGTGCGCAGGATGTCCCCAAGCTTTCTGAGGGCTCACAACTCCCCGGGGCAGGCTGCTGGGTCTCTGCCGAGGACTGGCCACAGGATACCCCTTCCCAAAGAACCCCGTGGTACTTCCTCCCTTACTCGGGCGCCTTGGACACCTCCCCAGTGGAGGTGTCGCGACAGGAAAAGATCTTAAAAGTTAGCATGCTTTGTGTCTATATCTCTTAGGCAGCAACTTGGATGCATCTGAAGGTCTAGAATGGAATTCTATGTCGCCTGGCTAATCCCATGTCCCACAGATAGAATCCCTGGCTGTAATTCTGGAAACTGCCTTTAGGAAGTTCACTAGTGTACCCAGTGTCCCTAGCCAATCTTGTGGCTGAAGCACCCTCAGGGGCACCTTCAAATACTATATTCATGCTATCCTGGCTTGGCATCCTTTGGATGGCTCCCTGAAACTTAGAAAGTGAGGAAAGATTGGGGGGGGCTCCCTTCCCACTTGAGGAATGTCTGCTGTCACCATAGATGATATTCCAGTACCAAAAAGTTGTACTGAGATAAATTTTTGGTACCCCCTCCCCAAACTGGAGGACAGCCTGGCTGTTTTATGAGGAGGGACTCACTGGGGCCAGTTTCCAAGTTTTTCCAGTTCACTCCCTGTTCTTAAAACTTTGAGTAGTTAAGGATATGTTCCCAACAGGGCTCACCCCTGGCACCCCTCTGGCTACAGGGGAGTGGAAGTTTGTTTACAAAGGAATATGTATATTCATTTTAAGACAGGTTTTTGCTAAGTAGTCCTGGCTGTCTGGGAACTCACAGAACTCTGCCTGCCTCTGCTTTCCCAGGTGCTGTGATTATAGGTGTGGGCCACCATGCCCAGTAGTCTAAAGAACTAAAATTTGAATTGTGTATGATTTACATGAACACCTGATGGCTGGCCAGTAGCTTCCTGGGTGGGGCTACTCTTCTGGAATCATCTACTCTTATAGGCTAGTAGGTTTCTTGAGGGTTAATTTGTGCACTTGTTTTTGGCTTGGTAGCAGGCATGTATAGCTGCTGCAGTAAAGGATGATGTCTACCTTTATAGTCCTGGAGGCTGAAATTTTGTCACAATAAAAGTAACTTGAGTCACCAGTGCTAAAGTGATGTCACAATAAAAGTCTTTTGAGTCCCCATCAGGGAGTCTGTGAAGATTCTTTTTGTTTCAAGGAGGAAAGAACAATATTTACATGTGCAGAGTTGTGCACCTGCTCTCTCATCAGCTCTCCACTATCTCCAGTAATGGGGACACCTCATGCCCAAAGCAGGGTATGAACACTGAAGGTCATGCAGGGTAGCTGTTTTGTCTATGTACTGTGTAATACATTAGGTTTTTAGTGGGTTCCTTTGTGTGCCAGGAACTGATCCAAGTGCTGGCTATGGCCAGCCTAGGAGCCATGGCCACTCTCTTTGGGGCCCTTAGACTCTGCTCTGGTCACATCAAAGCCAAGAAGAGAGTGTCCAGAATCCTTGATCAAACATGGTGATGAGTTTTTGTGGAGCAGTTTCCTTCAGATTAAAACATCCCATTCTGGAGGGAAAATATTAAGACTAGGAAGTGAACAACTAACAAGTCTCAGAAGTCCCTGCAACTTACAAGGCCTCTTTTTCCCCAAGGACGTGTGAACAGGAAGAGAGCCCATGCTCTGACCTGTTGAAGTGCCAGAGCTCCAGGATTCCATCTTTTGTGAGCCATCACCCATGCTGGGGGTGATACAGCTGCCTTTGAGTTGTCTCTGATCCTGTAAATAACCACTCATCCATACTCTTGTAAGTAGTCCCAATCAACTGATTGATTTACTAAGCTGGACTTTGGTGGATCTTTCCTTGGTCTGCTGTCAGTTCACTGCTGTCAGTGAATGGATGTTCATATGGCATCTCCCCAGGGAAATGTCACACAATAGCAGTTGACTTGCACTGTGGGTCTTAGAGGAGCTAAGGTGGGTCCAGACTCTCACACCTGAAAAGCCTTTAGGGCTGAAAGAACCATTCCAGGGCAAGGCACAGAAAGGAAGCTCTCTTGGGCCCAGGAGCAGATGTAGGCAGAAGAAAGCCAGACAGGTCTGGGTTAGATGGAATACAGACTTAGGCTGGTTCTGTCCCAATTGATGGGGGTGGAGTAGGGAGCAATCCCATAGACTCCAGGAGACTTGCTGAAAGGACTAGTTGCAAGAGTATATGGGGCCGCCTTGCAGGGCCCGCATCTGTGAGCACCACATTTAATTGCCCTGCCTAACATCCTGCCAGCTTGGCTATTAGGACATTGGGAGACCAAGGGGCCAGCTTGGTAGGACATGTGTCAGGTAGGTACCCATAGAATGCATCAGAAAAAGGCCCCTGCGGTTAGCTCAGCCTGACAATGTCTCTCTTTTCTTGGCTCTAAGACACCAGTGATGAAGGCACATGAGTGGTGTTAGGGAATGAGGGAGGAAACCTAAGCCTGGAATGGGAGGTTCCTCCCTGCTTCCCTGGTCCAGCAGGTGTGGGAAGGTAGAAAGAAGAGCAGGCCTTCATGGCCAGGGCTTGTCTCAAAATTCTCCTGAGTGTGGCTTTGTACTGGCTTCTCAGTTTCCCCAAGTGTGACAGAGATGCTGCAGAGTATCTCTAGGTGGGTAAGGGCAAGATGTCCTTGTCACTTGGAGCAGGGCCTGGCCTGTAGGAAACTCAAGGTCAAGTCCTGTTTGGCCCAGTCCCAGGGTCTTGTGACTCACTCCACAGAGGACTCTTGCTGTGTGTGTTTGGCAGGAGGTAGGGGGAGGTTGTTGCAGAGCCACTCTCTCAGTTTCCTAAAATTCATGAAGACTACCCAAATGAACTGTTTGTGCAGAGCTTGCTCAAGTGAGGAGGTTGGCCACTGTCACTTCTGCTTGCTAGAGATTCATATTCAGGTCAGGGAGCAAGACAGCTGTGTACTGAAAGAGTTCAGCATCCAAAAACAACCAGAGCAGTGCCAGGCAAAACTCTTGTGAGCATCTCCATAGAGACAAGAAACGCAGCCCTCCACTCTCCAAGTGCCACACTTTCCCGATAGAGTACCTCATTTACCAGCAATAGAATGGGATCTGTCCTCTAGACCCAAGGAAGGACTCAAGATTTATAAAAGTCCTGAGCCTATGTCCTCCCAAGGAAGACTGGAGACTCCTCACCCGGAAAGGTCAGAGTCAAGACAAAATGAAACAAACAAGACAGTCTCTGAATTTCTCCCCAGGGTTTTAGACAGGATGATTCAGCAAGATGGAAATGGTACCATAGAAAAGGACATAGTACCATGGAAAAGGACAGTGTGCTGGTAAATGTTTAAAGTCACTTATGAGACATACCTATAAGGCATCTCTGTGATCGAGTTTCTAGATTGGGTTGACTAAAGAGGGAAGGCCCACCCTAAATGTGAGTGGTACCATCCATGGGCAGGGATCCTAGAGTGCATAGAAAGCAGAAAGTGTGCTGAGCACCAGTGTTCATCTCTCTGCTTCCTGGTTGTTGGTATAATGTGGCCAGTTGCCTCAAATTCCTGAGCCTATGTCCTCCCTGCCATTGTACCCTTGAACTGTGAGCCTGGATGAATCTTTTCTTCCTTAAGTGACTTTGTCAGATATTTCAGGCACAGCAACAAAAAAATTAACACTTGGATGAGTAAATATGTTTAACAATGTGGCACATGCAAAAGACAAACATATTTCTATAGACTACTAGTGAACAATCCAAAATGAAGTCTAAATGACCATCTCATTTAGAATAACAGTAGAAAGAATAACCCATCTCATTCAGAATAGCAGCAGAAAGAACAACACATCAAGGGATGGAGTCACTAAGGGACATGTGTGAGACTTGCAGACTTGGAAGAACTAGCGATCTAACCATGTGGGAGGGAATCTGACTTTCACGGGTCAAAGACAAAATTAGCATTCAGGTAGTAACACTAAAGAATTTGTCTGGCTTTTTACATGCTGATTCTAAATTCAAGTCTTTTTCCCTTTTAAATTAAAAAAATTACATTCTATTTACTGTGTGTATATGTGCATACGTGCATGCTACAGCATGTGTGTGGAGGTCAAAGGACAGCTAGGTTCTCTCCTTCCAACATGTGTGTCCTAAGAATTGAACTTAAGTCATCAAACTTGGCAGCAAGTACTTTTATCCACTGAACCATCTTGCCAGCCTCTGATCCTAAATTCACAGGGAAAGGCAAGGGACTCAGAATAGCCAAGAAAATCTGGAAAAAGAACAAAGTTGGAGGATGTAAACTTCTTGATTCACACTACAAACCTATAGTAGTCAGGAGAGTGTAGTTCTAAAGTCTGGTATGGTAGAACTTGGCTGTAATCCTAGCATTTAAAGGGTGAAGGCAGGAGAGTCAGGAGTGCAAAGCCAGCCTGGGCTACATGAGACCTTGTCTCCAAAAGAGGGGAGACAGAGAAATAGTATAAGTATAGCTATTTTAGTCTGCTTTCTATTGCTGTGATAATACTAGGACCAAACACAACCTGGGGAATGTCTTAGTTAGGATTACTATTGCTGTTATGAAACATCACGACCCAAGCAACTTGGGGAGAAAGGGGTTTATTTGACTTATACTTCCATAAAACTGTTAATCATCAAAGGAAGTTAGAACAGAAACTCAAAACAGTAGAGGCCTGGAGGCAGGAGCTGATGCAGAGATCAGGTGCTGCTTACTGCCTTGCTCTTCATGGCTTTCTCAGTCTGCTTTCTTATAAAATCCAGAATGACCAGCCCAGGGATGGCCCCAGCCCTTCCACATCAATCACTAATTAAGAAAGTGTCTTACAGGCTTGCCTAACAGCCTGATCTTAAGGACGCATTTTCTTCACTGAGGTTCCCCTCTCTCAGATGACTTTTGCTTGTGTCAACTTGACATAAAACTGCCCATTACAGGGAGGAAAGAGTTTATTTGGCTTATGCATCCCAATCATAGTCTGTCATTGAGGGAAGCCAAGACAGGAACTGAAGCGGAGGCCATGGAGAAATGCTGCTTATTAACTTGCTCTTCATGACTTGCTTAGATTGGTTTTTATACAACCCAGGACCACTTACTCAGGAATGGCACCATCCACATCTATATTTAACAAAGAAAATGCCCCCACAGACTTACCTACAAGCCAATTTGATGAAGGGATTTTCTCAATTGAGGTTCCATCTTCCCATGTGACTCTAGCTTGTATCGGGCTGACAAAAACAACCAAAACAAAACAAAAAATTTACCAACACAGTAGCAATGGAGATCAAAGGGATAAATAGAATTGAAATTCTAGAAATAGACCTTTGGTTTTAAATGAGAGGACAATACAATTCAATGGGGAAAAGAGTCTTCTTAGCATATGGCTGTGGTATAGCCTTGTACACAGAAAAACCAAGGCAAATCTATCAAAAATTATACCTGTCAACATTATGATCAAAATGAGACCTAGGGCTAGAGAGATGACTCAGTGGTTAAGAGCACTGACTGGTCTTCAAATAGACCCGGGTTCAGTTCCCAGCACCCACATGGTAGCTCACAGCTACCTGTAACTCCAATTCCAAGGGATCTGAGGCCCTCATGTGGCTTCCATTGGCATTGGGCATGCATATAATATACAGACATGCATGGAGCAAAACACCTATACACATAAAATAATTAAAAATTAATCAAATTGAAATAAATCTTAAGTTGGGAAGCGGTGGTACACATCTTTAATCCCAGCACTTGGGAGACAGAAGCAGGCCGATCTCTGAGTTGGAGGCCAGCCTGGTCTATAGAGCAAGTTTTATGACAGCTGGGATGAAATTCTATTAAAAAAGAGAAAAAAGGACTAAGTCTTAGTGACCTTGTGTTAAACACCAATTTCCTTTCTATGGCCAAACACACAAGTAGCAGACCAGCATCCATCTCTCTGCTTCCTGACTGTGAGTGGATATGACCAGCCACCTCATCTTCTGCCATCTGCTGTCTGTCCTTTCCTGCCATGATCCTCAAACCAAAGTTGATCTTGACAGGTATTTTGTCACAATATTTGTACTAAAAAGGGAATCCCAAGCATTGTATTAGCAAGAGGTTTCTGTTGAGGAAAGGGGAATTGAAAGCCATATTTGTAAATCTGTCATGCTACCAAAACCTAGCCAAACACTAGCCCAAGGAATGCCTCAGCAGGAATGAGCATCCATGCTCCTCTCTTCGGCTGTCAGATTACTGAGACAATGGACCGAAAGAAATTAGAATTTCCCCAGAAATATGCTGGGAGAAGAAAATGTTGAAGTGGTAGAACAACCAGAAGAGGGTTTTGTCTCCTGAAGAAGAGATAATGGTGGACCAAGGGACCACACCTTGGTTAGGACTGCTTAGTTACGAGTACCAGAGCCCTCTTAACCTTAACCTCACATCAGGATCCTAAAGATGGACTTGGGGCAGGGCATCTCTGAATCTCTCTGTCCCTTTTCCCAATGTAACCATGTTGGATAAATCTCCCCCTTTCTGCTTATTAATTTGTCTCTTTTAAAAAAGATTTGTTTTCATTTTATTTACGTGTAAATGTGTCTGAGTATATTCTCTCTCTCTCTCTCTCTCTCTCTCTCTCTCTCTCTCTCTCTCTGTGTGTGTGTGTGTGTGTGTGTGTGTGTATGTGTATGCATATTTGAACATACCTTAGAGGCCTATAGAAGGTATAAGTCTCTGGCGTTGTAGTTACAGGTTGTTGTGAGCTGTCTGACAAGAGTGTGATGATATATTATTTATAATTTATTAAAGCTTCCCTGAGGATTCAGAAAGCAAAGTCAGC